CTGAGGCTGAAAGAGGCCACACAGCTAGAAAGGGTCTGAGGCAGGGCTGGAACTCAGGTCTCAGCGTCTCCAAATCTCTCTCTAGGTGCAGTGGCACCACCCAGCTAAGAAGATCCATGTCTGGTTGGACCTTACAGTCCTTCTAAACTGCGACATTACGGGATTTGGTGACTACAACCGCCAGAAGCCAACAAGTTAAGTGCCTATCTCTGGATGGTACCAGACCTGAACCATTCAAGACATCTGAAGGTACTCAGGGTCAGAAAAACAATACAAATTTCTCCTTAACATAAGAATGCTAGATTCAATCAACAATTCCTGTTTATGCTGCGCAGACTGCTATTTTGTACAAGGTTTAAAGATACAGTTCCTGACCTCAAGGATAAACATGACAGACATGAAAATAATTATAACATTGTAACATAGGATGTGCCTTGACAGAGGCAGCCAGATGGTGCAACGGATAGTCAGGCAGATGTGAGTTCCAATCAGACCTCACACCGTGACTAATTGTATGACCCTGAACAAGTCCCTTGACCTCTGCTTCAGTGTGCTCATCTGTAAAACAAGTAATAATGGCACCTACCTGACAGGCTGTTGTAAGGATCAAATGGATGGATATCTGTAAAGTGCTTTGCAAAGCTTTAAATGTTCTATAAATGCTGGCTATTATTATTATTATAAAACAATATGTGATGCCTACTATGTAAGAGTGAAAATTCAGAGTTTGTCCCCCCACTACGATTCCTAATGAGGTAGTATTTCCTCACCCCAGAGGAAGGCAGTGCAGCCGGAGCCCCAGGCCAAGGGGCCCTCAGGAGGGCAGGGGGCACTGCAGCTGCCTGCAGATGCCCAGTAAGCTGCCCCACAACGAGGTCAGACATCGGCCAATAGATTCCAAGATGACCTGACCACGGTTCTGCTGAACCAAATGATTAGGGTGACATCTTTAGGGCAAAAAGAACCTACCTGTCTTGCCTAGTCTTTCCAAATCTATAAACTAATAACCTGAGATGAATTCAGGGCAGGTTTCTGATATTCTGGGTAAAACTCAGACTTGCCCTGCTGACCTTGGAAGCTGCCTCACAGTAAAACGTGCCAGGGCAGACTTCCACCTTCATTACAGAGGTTTTCATTGCTGAAATGTCACTTACTCATCTTAACATTGATAATGGGACCCTCTCTGACAATCTAAGCTGCAGAGTAAAGGCCAACCTACAACAGTAAAGCAGTTCCTCATGGGTAATTCCTACACTGATGAAATCTCAGAGCCAGAGAGGAAAAAATGGAAAACAATAAAAACTTTCCACTCCATGTCATTATTTTAAGAAACAAACTCATCAATGCTGTTTCTATCACAGATAAATACTCCAAGAGCCTGTTACCCTTTAGCTTATGCTTAAGATGCTGGCAAGATGTTTAAAAAAAGACATACTGCCTACAGCAGGGGTTCTTAACATGGGGGTCCATGTACGGATGTCATGGGGCCCTTGAACTTGGATGGGAAAAAAAAATTTACACCTTTATTTCAACATAATTGGTTTCCTTTGTACCCTTTGGGTCTTATTTTATGCATTTAAAAACATCCTTCTGTGAAGGGGTTCTTAGGTAGGCTTCACCAGATTGACAGCCCAAGGAGGCCACGATACACACACAAAAAGGTTAAGAACCCCTCATCTAAAGCTGACACTTAAGATGTAATGAGTATATTTTACTTACCTTGCGTCATCATCAAATATATCGTAAATTCCTACGTTGTTTAATTACATAATCTTTTCAGTTGGACTTATAAGGTGGTACAGAATCCTTGCATTTTAGAGCTTGAAAAGAGCCGAGAAAACTCATGTCGAACACTCATTTTACAGAGGACAGAAGAGGCCAAGAGGGGCAAGTGATTCGCCAAAGGCGACACAGCTTCTGTCAGGGCCTGGATCGTAGCCCATTTCTGGATAAGAAAGAGATGGTGTAACAATGGGGTGGATTTCTACATGTCACCAGAGCCATTATTACTGATGAGCAAAGATGATCCAACCAGGGGGTTCTTAACCTTCTTTGTATGTGTCGTGACCTCCTTGGGCAGTCAGTCTGGTGAAGCCTACCTAAGAACCCCTTCTCAGAAGGATGTTTTTAAATGCATAAAATAAGACCCAAAGGGTACAAAGGAAACTAATTATATTTAAATAAAGGTGTAATTTTTTCCCATCCAAATTCAAGGACCTCACAAAATCTAGGCATGGACCCTCATGTTAGGAACCCCTACTGTAGACAATATTTCTTTTCTTAAACATCTTGCCAGCATCTTAACCATAAGCTAAAGGGTAACAGGCTTTTGGAGTATTTCTGTGATAGAAACAGCACTGATAAGTTTGTTTCTTAAAATAATAAAATGGAGTGGAAAGGTTTTATTGTTTTCAATTTTTTCCTCTCTGGCTCTGAGATTTCATCAGTGTAGGAACTACCCATGAGGAACTTGCTTTACTACTGCAGACTGGCCTCTACTCTGCAGCTTAGATTGTCAGAGAGGGTACCATTTTCAATGTTAAAATGAGTTAGTGACATTTCAGCAATGCAACCTTCTGTGATGGAGGTGAAGGTCTGCCCTGTGATATTTAACTGTGAGGTGGCTTAATATTTTAGAATGTAATACACAGGAAACCAATATATTAGACTACAACTATCTATCTATATCTATCTATCTATCTATCTATCTATCTATCTATCTATCTATCTATCTATCTGTTTATAGATCCTAGGTTAAGAATGCTTAACTAACAGATCTAATGCTTCCAGGGGAGCAGTATAAGGTATGTAAATCACCCTTTTCAAATATCTGTGCCTTTGACAGCTTCACAGTGATAGAGTCACAGTAGAGAAAGAAAGAGACCTTGCAAAATCTTTCCTATGGAACAAAGCTTGGTGAAATGGGAGAAAGAGAAAAGTCTGTCCCAGTGTGAATCATTTTGGTTACTATGTGACTATACTGACAGCTCCTAAACCCTGAAGTTAATTAGAGCACGGTGTACTCTTTTGCTGTGCTGTTTGGACACATGAAGATGGCTGTGTCGGTGCTATGGAGGCAACCAATGGTTCCACAGCCTAGAGGAAGGAAGGGCCAGTGGATAAAATCAGCGCATCAGTCAATCAATAAGCACTTATTGTTATTAAACCTTACAAATGTACCAGGCCCTGTGCTAAGTGCTGGGGATAAAAAAAGAAGCATCACACAGTCCCTGCCCTCAGGGAGTTTCCAATCTAATGAAGAAGAAAACAAGTAGAGAAATATAAAGAAATCTGTAACAGGATAAAAAGGAAATAATAAATAGCATGTTTACTTTGCAGAACCAGACTGAATGGATATTACATTTTGAAAAACAAGTTGTTTTAGAAGTCACTTTAGGCAATTAGGTTTATATCCTAAAGTTAAAAATCATATTAAATTAAAAAACAAGGTAATTAATTTTAAATACATATGAAGTAAATGCATCAAAATATAGATTGCCTTGTACTGATGCCAACAGCACATTTTTGCTATAGCTAAGGTATATTCTAAAAATAATCTCATATCAACGAAATCATTACCTGAGAGCAAGGAAGAATTATGGCAGTGATATTTGGTTCATTTAAGTTTTCAAATGACTCCTTATACAGTCTTTTGTGATAATCTTTTTAGTTTAAAAAACCCCACACTCAAAATACTCCAGACACTGAGGCTTCCTTACAGTGGGATGAATGTAAAGTATGGTCCTTGCACAACGTACAAGGCTGACTCCATGCGAAACCTGAACTCATCTCAGAAGTCATTAACTGTGTCAGAGGGAAAAACAAAACAAAACAAAACAAAACAACCCAACGGTTTGTAAACTTCTTAAGTACCTTTTCTTCATAACTGTCACAAACATATCACATTTACACACTGAGTTTGTACTAAAACTAAAAAAAATTAAAAATAAAATGATCTTCTCTGTGATCCTATATCCATCTTCATTGAGCTATTTTTGTCTTCCAATCCCTCCCCTGCTCCAAAACCTTCCCCAGGCCCCCGCCATCTCCTGACCCACTTCCCTGGACATTCAAAGCCCTCCTTGACCTGGCTCCACCTAACTCCCGTCATCTCCGTGTCCTCTTGCACTGCTGCAGGTCACAGTCCCCTATTCCAGCCACAGCAGACAGACCTCTTACCTGTCAAAGCCCGCGTGTTTCCCTGCCTCTGGGACCTCAGCATCTGCCCTTCCTGTACCCTTACTGGCCATCCCCCCTGATAAAATCAAGGCCCAGCTGACATGTGCTCTCTGAGCTCACCTCTCCCCTCCCCACGCCTGGAAGAGACCACTCCCTTATGTTGAGCACTTGTCCCTTTTTTGTATTATATTTGTGTCCAGGCCTTAGAACTCCCATTAGATAGTAAACTCCTTGAAGGCAGGGATTCCCCCTCAGGGTGTGGGGCAGAGAGGTGCTCAAAGAATGTTGGCTGAACAAATGAATGTATTCATCAGACATATAGTATTGGGAACTGAAAAACAGGAGTGAAAATGAATACTCTCGTAACCGTAATGAACTGCAACATTGCAGTCTTGACACTCACAGAATGGAAGCTGATGAAGTCTTTCTGCAGATCTTTTTGTAAGGAACATGTGTCACAGAGAAATTCGGGTTTCTGTCTGAGTGTAAAAGAGAAAAACGGAGTAATCAAGCACCTGCAGGGTGAGCCTGGGGCTCTGGATGCCAGGAGGAGGAGGAGGAGGAGGAAGAGGGGCTGACGGGATTCTGTCAGGTCATTCTTGTTATTTCACAGTAATAGACTGTCAGCTCCAAGAGGGCAGGACCGTGCCTGATCAGGATCTCCTCCAGCACTTAGCCAGGGTCTGTACCCCACAGAGGCCAAACGAGTTCTCACCAATATGTGAAGATTGTAGAACTATTCAAGTTACATTTCTGTCATCCACGTACTTGAACAAAATGACAGCCGCTCCCCCAAGCCCATTTCACTGGTACCACTGTACCTGATGGGGCCCCTGGGAGTGCTGCTTCCAACCCCGTTCCCGTTCAGCCGCGGCTTGGTTCTGAGTGCTGGAACAGTAATGGTCATCTGCTATGGTGATCTGCTCATTTTCCTCAGCTTCCAGCTGGCTCTGGTTGAAGCGCAGTGAACCTTTGAGGATATCTTTGATCTATTATCGAACAGGAGGAAAAGCAATGAAAACATTGGGTGAGGCTTTTTGTGTGTTTTAAAAACAATAGCTCCACCTCTTATTACAAGCAGTTTTCTTCTTAAAGGTTGTCCTGGATATGGCCAAGGAAGTCAATGCTCCCGTCAGAGCGTCACGAGGGCAAAGTCTCCCAGGGCCATCCGTAGCTGGCCTACATCCCACTGGAGTAATCTTCAAGCAGAAGGTGTACATACACATGTACATTCTGGACGTGTATCCATGCCACACACCCTGAACACCTTGGATGACGAGGACAAAGTCCCTGGGACAAGAGCTAAGGGTGACCAGGGGACATCTGTGTCCTGTCTCGGACTTTTTTATAGACACCTGGCACACGGTGATGCCTCTGGGCTCATTTAAATTTAGGTGCAAAGATATCATCTTGGCATTCATTTTGAAAGAGCCAAATACTGGGGGAACAGAACTGAGCAAGTGAATAGAAAATAACATTATGAAAAGGCCCCTGCAAGAACTATCTGCTGATGAGTGAGTGCTAAATATGGGAGGAGCCAGGTGGCAGTAGAGGTGGGTGTGGGAAGGGAGGTTTCCAGTGTAAGGCCTACCAGGTCGGGGAGGAGCAAGGGCTTGGCAGGATAAGATACAGCAGCCAGAGGGCAGTGGGCTTGAGAGGAAACAGGCTGTGCTTCAGTAGGATGATGGAAGGAATGAGTAACCATGTCACCACACGCACTGCAAGTCTCCCAAGTTGGTGCAAAATGTACACTGTGGACATGAAAATAGGGATGATTTCATTTAAAAATGTACCTGCTTTAATCCTGCTAGGGACACCAGTATTTCATCTTCTTTCTCCAAATTTTCTTGTAATATGACATCTTGAATATTTCCTGAAAGACAAAAAAAAATTCTGTAATTGATATCTAGATTAAACGTGTCACTACCTTCATCCTAAGCTCAGATACATTCAAGAGTTTTTATTAAGCTTCGTAAAAGTTTAATAATGTGCTACAGCTTTAAAAGTGTTCTCATCAGCTCTCCTCCTGAAAGCAATCTGGCCCAGACTGACTGGGCTCTGTTCAAGAGGGAGAGAAATGGTCTATCTGAAGGAGAAAGTCTGGTCCAGTCCCCTCATTTTATACATGAGAAGTTAAGCGGTCACACAGCTAGTGAAGAGAAGAACTGGGGTTCAAATGTGGGGCCTCAGACCCTGAATCTCATACCCTTTTTATTTCATGGCACTGCCCTGATTGCTACATAACATCACAGCATTCATCTCTAATCATACGATGAAGGGAGGGTTTATGGATTCTGTCATTGTGTCCTAAGTGCCAGGCATACGCTGGGGAATTAATAAATGCTTGTTGAATTGAACTGAATGAGGAAATTGAGGCCAGGCAAGTTAAGTGATTGGTCCAAGGTCATACAGGAAGTAAACATCAGAGCTGGGATTTGAACCCTGGTGTCCTGACTCCAAATTCTGTACTCTTGTGTGGGAAGTATGGACTTGGGCCTCTACAGCAATGACCTCTCTGGGAGAGTGCTGACCCTTGCATGATGACTGCTACTTTACACACTAAAGATGTGTACTCCCTACTTAATAGTGTCACTGGGGGCAATACTGTTACAAGTCTCAACATAAATTAAGCCAGGATACACAAAAAAAGTTGCAACTGAATGGAAGGACTCAAGGCTTTTGCAGCAGAAGGTTCATCATGCACCCAAAAGCAACAAGAAACACCATTCCAGTGGATATTTGCTCATCGCGACTTGTAGCACTCATGATGAGCACTCGGCAAGAGAATCACCATTAAGAGAGTGGGAGCTTCTGTGTCTGCCTCTTTTGCAGACAGTGAGTAAACACAGAAACTCTATAAAGAACCAACAAGGTCTTCCAAACTAAGTCTATGTATACTTCAATACTCAATGTGGACACAGGGACAACCTTGGAAAATGGAAGCTGGAAACCACGGCTCAGGATTAAGGACAAACGTGGCCAAAGACCTTTCATTCGTTATATAGAAATTTCATGCCTGTATATGATGAATACTATCTTCAGGAAGAGTTGGAAGGTGCTAGACATGACTAGCAGCACATAGCACAAAACTGAAAGCGGCTGTATCTTAAGGTATGTGGTTGAAATGTCTGTGACTGAAAGTCATTTCAGAGTCAGCAGGACACCCAAAGGAGGCCCTAGCACACAGATGATGGCAGGTTTATGAAAGGATGTGAACAAGAATTATACAGAAGGAGGAGCGGGCAGGTGGCGATTGGCCCTGGCGGAAGAGAGAACACTGAGAGGGAGGAGAAGGCCGCCTATTCCAGTAAGCTATGGTGGATGCTGCAAATGGCTGGAGTCATCTCTGGGCCCACACTGAGTTCGGAGGTATATGTTGACTTAGTTTGGAAGATGATTTCATTGGGAGTAGGAGCATCTGGGGGGAGAAGCCCCCTCTACCAATGTAGGTCAGCACCTTCTCTCCAGCTTATTAGCCTTAGCAGTGATTCCCAAATTTTCTGATCTCAGTTAATAAACATTTATTAAACGATTAGTAGGTGCCAGGCTCTGTGCTAAGTGCTGGGGATACAAAGAAAGGAAAAGAGTCCCTGCTGTCAAGGGTTCAAAGTCTAACGGAGGAGCTACAGACAGAAAAAACTGGAGATAATCCACAGAGGGAAGGTGCTGGAATTAAGGGGTATTGGGAAAGGCTCCATGTAGAAGATGGAACTGATCTGGGACCTAGCTAGGGAAGCCAGGAAGTAGAGATGAAGAAAAAGAGCATGACAGGCATGCAGGGCCATCAGTGAAAATGCCCTGTGGGGAGATGGGTTTGCCATATTTGAAGAGTAGTAAGAGGCTGGCATCCCTAGATCATGGACTATATGGTAGGGCGAGGCACAAAGTGTAAGGAGACTGGAAAGAAAGACAGGGGGTAGGTCATGAAGGGCTCTGAACACTAGAGGGTTTTGTACTGGATCCTGGGGGTGTTTGGGAGCCACTGGCATTTACTGAGCAGAGGAGGACATGGTCAGATACCTAGATCGCTTGGATATCAGAGTGGAGGATGGCTGGGAATGAGGGGAAACTTGAGGCAGGCAAACCACTCAGGGGATTAGAATAGGCTAGTCACGAGGTGATGAGGGACTGCACTAGAGTGGAGGCAGCGTCAGAGGAGAAAATGGCGCATATCAGGAGATGCTATGAAGGTAAAACTGACAGGTCTTGGCAACAATTTGGATGTAGTGGGTGAGAGTGAGGGAGCTGATGATGACACCTAGATGTTGAGCGTAGGGGATGGGGAGGATAGCGGTGCTCTTGACTGTAACAGGGAAGTTAGGAAGAGGGGAAGATTGGGGGGGGGAGATAATGACTTCAGTTTTTGACATGCTGAGTTTAAGATAATCCAGTTTGAGATGTCCAGTGGGCACCTGGAGACGTGAAAATGAAGGTCAGCTGAAAGTCAGGGTTGGATAAGCAGATCTGAGGATCATCAGCTTAGAGATGAACGCACGGCAGCTGACGAGGCATCATTAAGGGAAACAGTATGATGGAAGAAGAGGGCCCAGCGCAGAGCCTTGTGGGACGCGTATGGTTAGATCCAGCAAAAGATACTGAGAAGGCATGGAGAATAGGAGAGAGTGGTATAATGAAAACCTAGAAGGGAGAGTATTAAAGAGGGGCCCGATACCAAAGAACTTATATGTGTCACATCTATCAATATGCATTAGAAATTTGTAAAATCTTAAGCCATTAAAATAATAACATATTTTTATGAAAAATAACTATTTAAAAATTTTAGTGAGTCATGTGGTTCCATTTTACTTTTTTTTTTTGCAATGTCTGATTTAATAGAAGACAGCTGGATTTTCATATCTGCTTCTGCATTCAATCTGTTGTGATCTGTTGTTTTTGTTGGACTACATGAATAAGATCTAGACTCACAGATATGTCGTTAGGAAATGGAAGAGTAGTTTAATAGGCAAGTAGTATTTTAGTATTACTATGAAAATAGTTTTGACCTCTTGAAACCCCCAAAGGGGTCTTGGGGTCCATACTTGGAGAAGCTTTGGCCTAGGACACTGAGAGGTTGAGCTCTCGGTGTTCATGTCCAGGAGTGGGAATGCAGGGTCAAGTGGTTTTTAAGTTTGACCCTTTTTCTAAAGTATAATTCACAGTTGATATCCACCATGGCTGAACTTTACAGAACCACCAATGACGCACTTGTGGACCTGTCTTTAGAAAAATCTTTCAACATTGTTCCCATTTTCTGTCATCTTTGCCAATGTTTGTGGTATGAGGTGAAATTGCAGAGTAGTTTTAATTTGCCTTTTTATGCAGGGGCTGTGATTTGGAGCCTGCTTTCATGTGGTTGTTTGCAGTTTCTAGTGCTTATGAAAACTGTTCCTATCCTTTGGTCACTTAGCTGTCGGAGAGTGGGTCTTGGTATTACAGATTTGTGTCAATTCCCTGCATGTTTTAGGTACGAGACTGTTATTGGTGGGTGATACTTGACTCACGTAGTTTCCCCATCCAACCCATTTTTCTTCCCTAAGCACTTTGGGTTAAGATAGTTCTTGGAAATACTTCTCTCTTGTGATGAGACTACCATCATTTCTCTGGCTGCTCTGGAAGTTCCAGTGAGGTAGAAGCTTGTTGTTATAATTTAATTAATTACTGCTTTAGCATGATGACCTTTGCACCTTCACCTCTTCTCTCTGTCACGTTAGGGACTGAGGGTAGCACCGAGCTTTTCTAGGGATGATAGCTTGTATAGCTTCTCTTGCTACCAACTATGGCCTGGACAGCAAAACTGATGATGTATACATTGACAAGGCCTTCAAGAGTTCTAATTCCCAGGGATTTTTGAACAGCCATCTCCCAGTACCTACATACTATTGCCAGAAAAATCCCTCTAACTATGGAACTTCCCAAAGCAAACAATTGCAGGGTGGGTGTGGAGGGAAAGCTGCCTCTAATTAGATTTTTAGAAAATAAATGAAATGCGAAAAAGGGCTCAAGATATTATAGACAAATCATGAACCTGGGCATAGATTTCACTGACTTTTGATGCCACCACACTAGTGGGAAAACGAGTCACAGCACTGACCTAGAGTTTTGCCAAACACAGGAAGATGGGTGATTTCCATACCTTTGTCTTCCTCCTTGACCAATGAAGGGAAGGGCCCCAGCACCCACACAAGTATCTGGTTTGAAAGACTGTAATTCTGCTTCATTAAAACTGCTTTTGGAGCACAGAAGACAAACTACCATTCTTGGCTGTCATATCTTTTAGCACGATTTCTGGTTGGCTTCATGCAGTCCTCTGGCAGAGCCCACTGGATTTATGTGGTGGCCCTCTGGACACTGACTATCACGCTGACTGACTCAACATTTGGGGGTGGGGAAGGAGGAGCAGGGGTGGAGTACCTGCAGGGTTACATCGATTCTACCAAAATATTTAATCAATCAATATGTACTGAATGCCCACAGTGTAGAGAGGGCACTGTGCTGGGGTGCTGGGGGGGAGCGTGAAGTTCAGATAAGATACAATTCCTACCATCGAGGAGCGTACGTTAAACTCTACTGGGAAGTGGATAAACCACCAATTACAATTTACCAGGTATCCAGAATACACACTGCACAGTGTGTATGGTATTCTTAGGCCCGCTAAGCGAGATTATTCACCATCACAACATTGTATTAAGCACTTCCAGGTACCTGGAGTTAGACAAGGTTGTTGGTATGGCAACTCAGCCAGGGTCTGCAGCCCTCTTGGCATCTGCATTTCAAAACCTGGTTGTTCTGAGGATTTTCAAGCCATAATCCCAGTGAGGGTGGGGCAGAGACCCCCCCCAGCCTGCTTATTGGCAGGCTGATGACTTACTAGAA